GCTCTGGCCGCCGGGGGGAGAGCCGAGCCCCCGCCGGGGCTCGCCGCCCTCCTCCCAGGGCTCTGGCCGCTCTCCCCTCCGGCGCCCTCCCCCCGGCCGCCGGGGGGAGAGCGGAGCTCCCACCGGGGCTCCGGCCGCCCCACCCCCACGTGGGGGGGGGCGGGGGAGGCGGCCGGAGGCTTTTTTGCCTGGGGCGGCAAAAAAGCCAGAGCCGGCCCTGCTCTCCAAGTCACCTCACATGTACCACCACCATTACCTCTTATCTCACACTTCAGATTCCTGTCTCTGTAAAATCAAGGGTATCTTCTCTCCTTTTTATCATAGGACTGGGGAGAAGAAACCAGGAGTAGGAAGGCCTGGGATTGTCTATCAGGCATGCTGAGAAAACTGAGGTAAAGGCTGGCCTTTTTCTCTTCTCTCCTTGCCCATGGAGGAGAATGGCGTAAGGGTTCAGCCAGGCAGTGGGCATGCAATACATGATGCCATACATGATGAGACTTTCTATCTCTCTTACCAGGTCCAGGCTCATACCCTATTAGTCTGTTACAAACCAGGGAAAGTGTAGGGAAAATGGAAGGGCAAGGCTGGAACAGGATTCAGCTTGATTTGCTCTGATTCTGTTTGTATGACACTGCATTCGTCAGAGGCTACCCAAAGCCAGTTTTGGCCACATTTCAAACTTGTCAGAAGTTAATATGCAAATGAGAGTCTCCTATTATGTCTAATTTGAAATATAAGTAAGATATTAGACTACATGTCTTACACTTCAAAGTGGTGTATCTTATTAGGAGCTAAAGAGCTTTGATAGATTATGAAATGCTGAGTGGTCCAAAGATTATAGAGACAGTGATTGGGATATACGACATTTCCAGTGGAAAAATCCTAGACTTGTAAGGGCTAGTTTTGTTCTGGTGGGAGATCCATCACAAAAACTAAACAAAACAAAAAACACCTAAAAATGGTGTTAAAAAGAAACAACTATTAAAGTTTACAAAGGAAGATTTTAACACTAGAGGGAGCTGTAAACACACAGAATAATATGTTTAACTTTTAACCCAGAATAATGGTAATATTTTTCTTGATAACAGGATGTATGAAGAAACTCACAGGATTTCAACAATTTCTGGCAAAATTTATTTATGTGATAAGGTATGTTATTCTGACCAGGGCAATGGATAACCAGTTTGTTAAACTCTTTTTCTTTCTTTCTCTCTTTCTATAGTAATTGTCTTTACATAAAATCATTTGAAATTTGAGAACAAGCAAGCTGAATGGACAAGCTAGTTTTGTGTGTTTATACAAAATAACAGGAGTGGCAGCATCTGCTGTAGTTAAAGTTTTTAAAAAAATCATTCCAACAATATTATACTTTGTCCTTGAAAAATATATAGAGTATAGCTCTATTCCTGCAGTTGGATCCAGGCTGATAGATCTTTGTCTGCACTGACTTTACTGGCCTATGACCTCAGTGGGGCTCCATGAATCCATTTGCAAGGCTAACCTATGTTTCATATAGTTCGGTCTATATAATATATACGAGGAGTGAAGACCTTTCAGGGAGTTCAAGGATGCCCTCCTTTGGGAATTTATTTATTTATTTGTGTACCTGACATTTGGTTCAATCTGCTCCATTCCAAAGACAAACTAATAGCTCTTCAGACTTTTTTTAATGTGCTCCAGGGGAAAAGGTATCTCTGGCAAACAAGAGGTGAGCTCCAACAGAGGCAGCGAAGTCACCCCAAACCTCCTTTCTGTTTGGTTATGGAGTTTTAATGAGGAGCATCCCTGTAGCACTTCACCAGTGTTGTTTTGGAAGTGAATATATGGTGAAATTATACCGCTAACATTAGAAAAATGAGTCTTAAAGTGAGGGTTCAGTGTCTAGACAACTTGAAAACACTGATGGAGGAAATCCAACAAACTCAATACATCTATTAGAGTTGGACACAGCAGAACGAGGGATCTGAAACATAATCAAACATGAATGTAGTATATTTTTGGTGTCATAGGCTGTCACGTAATAGCAACCTTTATGTTCATGAATTTTTTATTCATTCTTTCATAGGTCTTCCAGAGGGAGAACCAATTGGATACTAGACTAACAAAAAAAATAGTAACCAGACTCCAGTGACCTGTTTAACCCTGAATGTGAGGGATGAAAAGCAGCAGCCTTCTTGTATGGGACAGTGCTTCAGGTACGGAAACACTTTCTTCTGTTGGTTCTTGCTTTCTTTCCTTCTGAGTTAGCAGATCAATCACAAAAACTGTCAAGACACTGAGTTGATCAAGTTCTCTAGATAAGACTTTGTTCCAGCAGTTTTAGAAACAGATATGTTATTAGAACCACAATAGCTTATTTTTGTTATACTTAACATAAATCTAAATGAGTTGAAAATGTAGTAATTTAAAAGTCGCATTATCTTAAATGAGAATGAGATATGTAATTGTTTACCAATATTTCACTCGTCTTTTTAAATATTGTGTCAGCTTTCATGGAAGTAAACAATATTCTCCTTTCTTTACTAAAAATAGGATTCTAATGTATCTCAGTGATAGGGTATAGGATCTGGTACTGAAATAGGAACTGTGCCTACCTTTATCTTTATTAACAAAGAAACTTTAACTTGCTCTAGAAAACTGGATTTGACTGTTTATAATCATCTATTATTATTCTGATCATATTTTTATAGGATAACTAAAAGTAAGTAGGCAAAACTCCCATTGATTACAACTGAAGGATGATCAGGATGACTTTGTTAGTGTCTCAAAGTTTGCACAGCTGATCAACTTCTTGAAAATTTAGTGACAATAACAAAATATTAAAAACAGTGCTTTGTAAGAAAGTACAAATTATGTTAGTTTGCTGTCCTTTAAAGTAAGATCCATCTTAATTTACCTTTGGTTTTTGCCTCTGCTGTGGTGCAATGTATCCAGCTTTGGGTAATGGAATTTTTAAATTGTGTTGTAGTTCAGTGACTTTATATTGTTGTCTGGTTATGAGAGGTTTGATAATGTCAGTGTGCCAGATCCTTCTCCCATTGACTCGAGCGTGAGCAGGATGGGTCCCAATGCTAGTGTCATGTTAAACATGTTACAGCCATGTAATTCTTAACAAATAGAACTGTAATGCAGCTGGTAAATTAATATTTTAGGCCTGAAATAACATAATTCTTAATGATTAATTTTTTTAGTATGTTTAATTCATTTAATGGGTACTTTTGCACTATCACATTTATTTCAGCTGGATGCGTGAATTTCAGTAATTCACAGGATCTTGAACCTTGCTTTTATTTATTAGAATAAGAAGTCATGAAAAAAAATCATAAATGTAAATAATGTTTCCTTAAGGAAATCAAATAGGTTTTGCCAAAGTTACATAGGTTAGTTTACTTTTGTGTGTAATCTCATGTAACTTTTTGACCAACATGATGGTTTGGGTTTTTTTGTTTGGGTTTTTTGTTTGTTTGTTTGTTTTTAATGACATGCTTGCTCTTATTTTACAACTGAATACAGATAAAGAGTTTGAATTTGTTACAAAGCTGAATCTAAACCAAAATGTGGCCTAGTAAATAATATATGAAGAAAGGCAGGATAATGTTTCTAGCTCAGCAGTGAGAAGAGAGAAATGGCAGAGTAGTAGTTTTATTTGACACACTAATCTTTTAGTTCTCAGAAATGTCTGTCTCCAAAGCATGCCCACAACTCACTATAGATTTTTCCTATGGTTATATTCTGCTGTGATCAGAGCTTTGTTGTGGCTGTTCTGTTGTCAAAGAGGCAGATCTTTCCCTCAACACCAAATCCAAGTATAGGTGCCAACAGCATATAAAGAAATTCTTCAGGTATCATGAGCACTCCTCCTCATACGCTGCAAAGTGGTAGTGGAGCCACTCTGTGGGTGGTAGTTTGGCTGCCAATTCCACCTGCAGGAGGAACGAGGTTATGGCTGATTGATCTGCGCAGCAGTGTATCCAATGATTAGTCTACATTTAACCTTCATTCATGCCATGCAACTGAGGGGCCCTGTAGGAAATTTATCAAAGACTTCTTATGAATTCTGCTAGAATTATTGCACTATAAGACACAACCATGACATCTCAATGTGAGACCCTACTTCACTTCAGCTTTTCACACACATAAGATTATTATAGAAGCAGGGCCGGCTCCGGGCACCAGCATAGCAAGCAGGTGCCTGAGGCGGCCAATGAGGAGGGGGGCGGCATGTCCGGCCGTTCCGCGGCAATTCGGCGGCAGGGCCGTTACTCCCTCTGGGAGCGGAGGACCAGCCGCCGAATTGCCGCCGTAGAATGAAGCGGCGGTAGAGCTGCCGCCGGGCGCGATCGCGGCTTTTTTTTTTTTTTTTTCCTGCTTGGGGCAGCAAAAACGCTTGAGCCAGCCATGTACAGAAGGTTAATTCTATAATATAGTCCATTGGGCTTAATCCTTGGCCTCTAGTCCAGTCACTTTGTGCTGCTCAGAAAGCAAAAAGGGGGCAGAAATCTGCTCTAAAAGGGGTGACTTGGGTGATATAAAGCTGACATCCCATTGAAAGAAGCCAATGATCTTAGTGGAAGATTCAATTATATGTGTAGGACTTGAAAGAGAAGGGGAAAACAAACTAAACAATTATCCTGAAATGTCCTTTTACTCTGTTCAGGCCTGATTCTGCATGAAGTTAATGAGAATTTTGCTATTAATTTAACTGAGAGCAGGATCAGGCCTTTTATTTGGGACATTCGGCACCTAACCCAAGCATTTTTTGTGTGTGGCCATTTTGAAAATCACTTTAAAATAATGTATTTTGGGGGAGAGGAAGGTCTGTGGCTTTTTTGGAAAGGTATATGCTTTTCTAATTTTGCTTACATGTAAAATAGTTTAGAAAGTAACTTAACAAACTAATTAAACCTTATTAAAATTAACAATAAGAAATATTATCCCTACATCTGCAATCCCAGTTGTTCTTTTTCCCCCCTCAGTGGTCTTGGTAATGCACAGATAAGATGGCTGAACAAAGGCAACGGGCTTTATCCACATCAGGAGAAGCATTATATCAAATTCTAGCTCTGGAGAAGGGGGCAACACATGAAGAAATTAAGAAATCTTACAGGTATTTAAGAAATGTCTAAAACACAGGTAACAAAAATGTTTTATGTCACAGCAACATAGATTTTACTGTGCTGAGATATTATATGTACTGTCCAGGGAACAGCTCCTACAAACAGCAACTATTCAAAGAAGTGTAAATCAGGAGTAACTGCACTGAAGTCCATTGTTGCATGTTTGAATTTAATAATGATTTGAGATTGTCAAATAACAGGCTCAAATGTAATTATTAAATCAAAGATTAATACAGCACTATACAGAATACAGAAAGAATAGATACATTACTACCTTTGGTGTAAGGTAAAGAGCTGGCCTCTGTGTCTCTCTTCTCTGTAACTGGTGGGATACTGGCAATCTAACCTGCAGTCCCCAAAGTAACTTCCTAACCCTCTATCCTTTCATAGGGTGTGAGACAAACCCCATTTTGGAGGGGAAAATACTTTCCCATCCTTATTTTTACCATGTATTCTGTTTTCCTAATTACTAATGGAATGTCTTTTATGGTCCACAGTTTACCTGACTGATGAGCAAAAAGGAATCTCTAATCTGGTCATAAGTACTAACTGCTATGACAACTGACAGTTCTTAATGAGTTAAAAACATCCTTCAATGGGGTCATTATTTCATCCTTTACAGAACACATCTGCATTAAGAAGTATCCCTTATCAATCATTCAGTTTTGCTTATAACATACTTGTGCAGACACTTTTTCATTAGTTTGAGGGGTCTCTTCCCTGGACACCTGGACTGCATTAAAGTCAGAGTAAACAATAGGGTTAAAAGATTAAACACATTCCATTATTGAATTCATTTTTCCATCACCCATTAGTTTCAATTGAAAGACAAAGAACTTTTTAGTTTCAATAGATGTAGGACACTAAACGTATCAATACACAACATAAAAAGGATTTTGGGTAGCATATAAAAGAATTATAATAGTTTATCATAAAAAATCATTAAAAATTAATATTTACTAACACCATGGAGTTACATGGTGTAAATTGGGGTGTAAAAGTGAGAGTAAAATCAGGCCCTCCAACATCAATAACTTACTGTATGGCCAAAATGTTCAAAAATAGTCTTTTATTGTGGGTGAGAGAGACAAGCTTTCGAGCTACACGGAGGTCTTCCTCAGGTCTGGGAAAGGTACTCAAAGTGTCACAGCTAAATATAAGATCAAACAGGTAGTTTAGCACAGGGGTTGGCAACCTTTCAGACGTGGTGTGCCGAGTCTTCATTTATTCACTCTGATTTAAGGTTTCGCGTGCCAGTAATACATTTTAACGTTTTTAGAAGGTCTCTTTCTATAAGTCTATAATATATAACTAAACTATTGTTGTATGTAAAGTAAATAAGGTTTTTAAAATGTTTAAGAAGCTTCATTTAAAATTAAATTAAAATGCAGAGCCCCCCGGATTGGTGACCAGGACCCGGGCAGTGAGAGTGCCACTGAAAATCAGCTCATGTGCCGCCTTTGACACGTGTGCCATAGGTTGCCTACCCCTGGTTTAGCATAAGTAGTTATCACATATCTAAGGGACCATTCAGAGTGAAGTGGCCTGTTAATACCCCTGTAGGTATAGGACAAAAAGAGGGGTTAGTGGGTTACAGATTGTTGTAATAAGCCATAAATAAATAAGACTGTGGTCTTAATAAAGACACTGGATTTGGCCAGGAACCCATCCTGGCAAGGGTCTTCCTGGAACACTGATCGCCTGCCAAGTGGGGATTGCCGCCTCCAGAGCCTGTGCCAGGTCTGTTGAGGCTAGGGTGACCAGTCAGCAAGTGTGAAAAATCGGGACAGGGAGTGGGGGGTAATAGGAGGCTATATAAGAAAAAGACCCAAAAATCGGGACTGTCCCTATAAAATTGGGACATCTGGTTACCTTAGTTGAGGCTATCCCCTGAAAGACTTTTGCCAAGCCATGAGACGGTGCTGCTCCCAAGCACCCCGGAGCCGCAAGGGACCTGTTTAGCCTCCCAGTAGTGGTATCACCAGCAGAAGAAGGTCTGCTACTGGTATTAATGGCCGCAGCTCATACTTCAATGCATCGAGATCCTGTGGTACTGCTATCGAAGGCCTCTGCGAAAGTGTATGCTGTCAAGAGGAAAGCCTACAATGATTTCCCCGATACCACTGTGACGGGTTAGATCACAGAAACCTTCTTGGGAGCTGCCACCTGATGTGCCAAGACTACTTCTACCCTTGCCTTCCCTGCCAGCTCAGGACTCCAGCACCCTGTCTTGCTGAGCCAGACACTCCCGTCTGCTCCAACACAGACCCAGGGTCTGAATTTCTTGCCCCAAAGCTGCAGGTTTACCTGAAAGCAGCTAACAGAAGCGTTCCTATCTTTAACACTCAGATGCCCAACTCCCAATGGGGTCTAAACCCAAATAAATTTGTTTTTCCCTGTATAAAGCTTATTTAACACTCTCCCTCTATAACACTGATAGAGAGATATGCACAGTTGTTTGCTTCCCCAGGTATCAATACATACTCCGAGTTAATTAATAAGTAAAAAGTGTTTTTATTAAATACAGAAAGTAGGATTTAAGTGGTTCCAAGTAGTAACAGACAGAACAAAGTAAGTCACCAAGCAAAATTAAATTAAATGCGGAAATCTATGTCTAATCAAACTGAATACAGATAAGATTCTCACCAGTTCCAGAATGCTCCCTTTTACAGACTAATCTCCTTTTAGCCTGGGTCCAGCAATCACTCACACCCCCTGGAGTTACTGTCCTTTGTTCCAGTTTCTTTCAAGTATCCTGGGGGGTGGAGAGGCTCCCTCTTTAGCCAGTTGAAGACAAAACGGAGGGGTCTCCCAGGGGTTTAAATAGACTTTCTCTTGTGGGTGGAGACCCCCTCCTCACTCCTATGCAAAGTCCAGCTCCAAGATGGAGTTTTGGAGTCACCTGGCAAGTCACATGTCCATGCATGACTCACAGTTTTTACAGGTAGCATCCATTGTTTACATGCTACCTTGAACGTCCTCAAGTAGACTTCTTATGTGGATTGAAGCATTCCAAGATCCATTGTCCTTTAAGTGTTTCTTGATTAGGTACTTAATTTCAATATTCCTTTCTCCAGGAACTGACCAAATGCTCTACTAAGGTTATTTAGAAATCAAGCCAGTACACAGCCAACGTTCATAACATTCATAACTTCGAATACAAAAATGACACATGCATACAAATAGGATTAATACATTCAGTAGATCATAACCTTTACAGAGATATGTTACATGGCATATGTAGCATAAAACACATTCTAAGCATATTTCCATAAAGCCTTATGGGAGGTACCGTCACAACCACCATCCCTGGACTCGGGCTACCTCTCATCAATCCCAACTGAATCTGTCCCTTCATTGTCAGAAGTATCTGGCTCTTCTTCAGACTTGGAGATGAGGTCACTTGTATCCCATTCAGGACAGGAATCATACCCCCCCATCAAAAGCTTTGGGAGCATGGGCCATGAAGCAACCTCAGCGTTGGCATCCTTCTAAGGTTCAATGGTCCAGGCTAGGATGGGTTTCCAGCACATACCAGTGGCATTCTGGACATCATGGGGCCTCCCCCATGCCAGCTAGGACCTCCCCTCAACGGTCCTGCTTGCTATCATAGAGAACGCACCGGAGACATCAGCATCAAGAGCATCATTCCTTGGTACCTGGTACCAAGACCAGTACCGAGCAGCCAGAAGTCACTCTGGCAGCTTCTCCACCACAAGTCAGATACCAACCACCACCTCAGATGCCTGTTGCATTCTTGTCCTTGTCACCAGATGAGGCTATTGAGCTGTCAAGTGACCCACCACTGCGAGAGGACCACAGGGCTCATCAAAATCTTTTGAGAAGGATGGCCTCTCTACTTAACATTCAGGCAGAAGGTGTGTGTGAAAGCTCTCACAAGTGGGTGGACATTCTGGTATCGGCAACTCCCGGTCAGTGTGGCTCTGCCAATTAATGAAGCCATCATGGAGCCTGTCAAGGCTGGATCCCCACTTTGAACTTTAGGGTTCAAATGTAGGG